TCTGATTTATTTACAAAGTTTAAATAAATTGTTTTTCACAAAAGATTCTTCCTATTTCCTTTAGTCCACCTACCCATCAAATTGTGCAACCATAGGAGTAACACCCTACTGCCCCATTTTCATCCTCATTGGGTTTTTGAGGATTTAAATCTGTAGAAGACAATGAACCATCTTTTGCCTTAGAGAGTTTGAAGGATTTGAACTACTAGCCTTTCAGTTAGCAGTACGGCATGTAACAAACTAGGCTACCAAAGCACCTTAGATAAATACTATAGCTGATATTATTTCAGTTTGTAAGTTTGTCTGAAAATAGTGGTTTTAAAATGTTGTATACATTATTTTTTTAAATTTTATAGCAGAAGATATAGGCGCTGAACTCAAAGCCCCACTTATGAAGCAAGAACCTCTCCAAGTAAGAGGTAAGTATTTCTGTTTTTCATTAAAGTGATGGTGTGAATAAAATATATACAATTTGTTTATATGAAAGTCTTCCTAGTTATAGTACCTAAGGATATAGTTTTCATAAGCTGACTTTTCATTGAAGTTTATTTTGTGTTTTGGTCACACATTTCAGCATAATTGTTTTTTTCAGAAACCCGAAGAAAAAAGTAATGGCAATAAAAACTGTCAATTGCTTTATAATTTTTAGAAAAATGCTGTGAATAAAGAACAGGAGTTCAACCCCTTTCAGCAATAGCTTGCTAAAATTTAAATTATTTTGGTTCTCCTTGACATTTTTTTCTCTCCAAGTATCAGTGAATGCCAAAGGAGTCCTTGTTGTAGCTCTGTTTTTTTATAAAGAGCTATAATTCTTGCTTCAGAGCAGCGCATTGTATGTTGGCTTTGTGGTAAGGAATTGCACTGTCAACCCAGAACCATGCAGTTCAAATTTGCCTGCTTCTCCAAGAGAAAGATGAGCATTCTCCTCCCTTGAGATTAACTACCGCTGAAAATCCACTATTGGTCAGTCCTGAATCCATAGTACACAATAGCAACTCTATGACTTGTATCTACAAAGCAGCACATCGTTGTATGGAAGCCATAAATCTGTGTGATAGAGTGCCATGGTTTTAGGGTTAGACAAACCTGATTTCAATTTGTGGCTCCAGCATTTACTAGTTATGTGACCTTAGACAATTTTCTTAACCTTTCTGAACCTTATTTTTTTCTCCCATCACAAGTTGATACTAAAAGTGGATTTTTTTTTTTTTCTACAAGTGCATTGAAGATAATACATTGTGAACTGTTAACAATCAAGACTAAGTTGATACTGAGATATCAGTTATTATCAGCATTAATAATTTGGCAAAAATAGGCTGCATATTTTTCTTTGTTTAAATTTTAAAAAGCAATCCTAGTAAAAGATGTTACATTCTCTTTGTTCCAAAGAGTTCATTGAAACTTTGAGTTTTAGTGTATACCGATTTTAAAAAAATAAGTTTTCATGTCTGCCATCCAAGCAGATATATGCACACCCATGTTTATCGTGGCTTTGTTTACAATAGCAAAGAGTTGGAAGCAGTCTAAGGGCCCATCAACAAACGAATGGATAGAGAAGCTGTGGTATATCCACACAATGGAATACTATGCAGCATTGAAAAACAAGGAACTCATGCAATATTATTCAAAGTGGGTGACCCTGGAGGACATTATGCTGAGTGAAATATCTCAGTCACAA